GAGGCCCCTGAATCTCCCATTTATTTGATGGCAGTTGCTGACTACAGTCAATGTGAGGAAAAATAATGTCGTCTGCCAGCTGCCCAGGCCCGGGGACACCGACCAGCACCAGAGGCAGTGATTAGGGCCTACTGGCGAAGGAGTCTGTCCTCTTCATCCTCTGCTCTGCCCTGCCTTCGGGCTAGAGTATCCTATCTTCCAAATGCACAGATGGCTGCTATAAGTGTCCTTTCTAGTTAGATTTTGAGCTTAGACTTTGATGGAGGATTTGAACAGGGCCTCCAGGTACCCTTCTAGTGAGGTGCAGCCCTCAGGTCACATCACCTGCCTTGCTGCTCCAGTCTGAGGAAGGCTGGCTGCTTCTGGGCTGGGCAGCATTGCTTGCTCACTCAGCCATGGCAAGAATGTGGCACTAAACTTGGTGTCCTACCATGTGCATGGGAAGGGTCATGCACATGTGTTCACTTGCAGCCTCCTAGTCCTAGTTCCAGAACTGCATACCCAGAATGGAAATGACCAGCTAGAATGGAAAATGCACGCAATGCCATTATATTCTTCACTAGTCTGGGTAGATTGCCCTCTATTTGCCCTCACTTCTTCCAAAAAGAACTACCACGCTTCCAATATTCCATTTATCACCATGCTCGAGTTTATGCTCAAGATGTATCTGTTTAAAGAATGAGTTACGGCAGCTTTCTTAACTAGGAGAAATTATGAAATAAATGCTAACTTTTGAGTGCCTACTCTGTCCCAAGCATGGTTCTAAGCAGTTCACACGTACTAAATTTAATTATCAAAGCAACCATATCATAGGCATTTGCTACTTTAGTAGATGGGGTGATAGAGAGAATGCATAACCTAGAAGCCACCAAAACTGTCCCTTTAACCCTCCAGTGACTTATAAAAGTATGGATGTATATAATCCATAGAATAACTATAAAGCTAAAATCTGGGTATTATAAAACCTGACAATAACTAGGGGGATGTTTAAAGATATTTCAAAGCACAAAGAACACTATACCTCTATACCTCAGAAAAGGAAGCTACCCAGAAATTTTATGACACTAAATCATGATCAGGATGAGAGAGGTCTCAATTCAAAGTGGAACAGATAAACAATATGGGGGAGAGATCTTACCATTAGACTGGTCGGTTAACTTTTCAAAGATTAGAGAACATATAACTAAAAAAAATAGAGGTGAAGGTCATAAACAGGTAAAACCTGAAAGACCACCAAAGCCAATACACGTCTTAGAAATGCTGCACAGTTTTGTTTGTAATGAGTCTCTGTTCATTCAGAAATGGCTGAAGCAGGAAGGGTGAGGCACTCTCTTCTTCAGTAGCTTTTCTTTTGGGCTGAGTCCATCATAAAAAGCCACCATGCAAGCAGCTAGACTTCCTTCCAAGCTGGCTCCTCTTTGACCCAACAGAGCTTGCCATCTTCTTCAAGCCATACGGCTCCACTGGCCACCAGCTGGAGGGCTGCGGGAAATATTTTATGTTCTGCTAACTTCACTCTTTCAGACAGAGTTGCAACAGTGTCGCCCCTCTGCACTGGAACAGCTTCTTGTAAAATAATCTGTCCAGCATCTACGTCTTCCTGGAAAAGGAAGCAAAGTTTTGAACATCACTTTCTGGCCAGTACAATTTACTTCCGAACACTAGCAGTATTTTGTGAGAAGACATACTCACAGCAACGAAGTGCACGGTGCACCCCGTTACTGTGACACCGGCATCCAGGGCTTGTTCGTGGGCATTTGCACCCTTAAAAGAAGGGAGCAAGGAAGGGTGGATGTTCAGCATCTTCCCATTCCATTTTCTGACAAAGGGGCCAGATAAAATTCTCATGAATCCTGCAAGACAGACTATGTCTGTGGAGAACTCTCCAAGGACTTGGTCAATTGCTGTGTCAAATTCTACACGACTTTTATATAATTTATGATTAATTACTCTGGTCGGAATTCCAGCTCTTGCCGCCTTATCTAAGCCAGTCACTGCGGCTTTGTTGGAAATAACGACAACAATGCGCGCAGAGCTACTGGGCGCCTGTGTGCTATCTATGAGAGCTTGGAGGTTCGATCCTGTTCCAGATATTAAGACAGCCACTCTTGCCTTTTTTGGTTTACTTTTCATAGTGCCATTCTGCAATTTTGGTCCATTTGTTTGCATGGCTTCAATCAGGTGCCTGACTTTCACACGAGGAGAGCCTTCA